GTGTATGACATCTGAAAGTATACCAACAAAAATATGTTATTTTCAACATTATATGTCATTTTTAGTGTTTTCACTTATTTAACTTTTCAAAATTGTTCAAAGTCACAAAACCACCCACACCCAAACCTTATCCACACACACATTGCATTCTGAAATCTACTGCCTGTCAGCTTTGAAGATTGAACCATGAAAAAAAAACAAAAAAAAAAAACAATACATTTTGCACTATGTGTGTCTTTGGATCATAAATGTTTGTAATGTAGTTACTGGTTGAATAGTAATTAAGTTGAAATAACTTTTCTCGCTACTTTGAACTATTGAATTTAGATTTTTATAAATAAAAAATAATATTTGGTGGCTTGAGTTAGATGTACATGTATCTCAACATTATTATTTCAATTGTATAGTATATGTCACCATACTTCATTTGGTTTTACAGAATGCTTTCCAAATACTGGAACTCTAAATTCACCATGAAAAAAAATTAATCACACCTTGTGAAAAACAGCATCAGAATATCTCAACTATAAAACTATAAAATATATTTATGGCTTGTTCATAAATTTTATGTGTAATGTAGGTTGAAACATTTGAATACATTATCTCAGTTTTATTTTTAAATGTATATCATAAAAACTTATATAAACAATTATTTTTTTGATTCAAACATTTGTTATGCAATTTTACTAGAAAAAAAATTGTTATTTGTCTCAGTGTATGTCTAAAGTATGCAATAAAATAATTATAGCTTTGATCATTTCCATGGAAACAATTTTATCACAAGTTGTATCTTCTAAGTATTTGTAATCAATTCATTGCACATCTTAATTTGAATATAAAGATTCAAATATTATTTAAAATTTAGTGTTATTCAAATCATATACTACAGTTTCAGTTTAAAATTTAGTGTTATTCAAATTATATACTACTTCCAATTTAAATTTGGTGTTATTCAAATTATATACCGGTACTAGACTTTCAGTTTAAAATTTAGTATTATTCAAATTATATACTACTTCCAATTTAAATTTAGTGTTATTCAAATTACATACTACTTTCAGTTTAAATTTAGTCTTATTCAAATTATATACTACACTTTCCATTTAAATTTAGTCTTATTCAAATTATATACTACTTTCAGTTTAAATTTAGTCTTATTCAAATTATATACTACTTTCAGTTTAAATTTAGTCTTATTCAAATTATATAATACTTTCAGTTTCAAATTTAGTATTATTCAAATTACATACTACACTTTCAGTTTCAAATTCAGTGTTATTCAAATTACATACTACACTTTCAGTTTAAAATTTAGTATTATTCAAATTATATACTACTTTTAGTTTAAATTTAGTGTTACTCAAATTATATACTACACTTTCAAGCTTAAAATTTAGTATTATTCAAATTATATACTACTTTTAGTTTAAATTTAGTATTATTCAAATTATATACTACACTTTCAGTTTAAATAATATAATTCCCATTTTAACGCATCACCTGCTGGAAGTCTCCATGGATTGCCAACACAGAATTGGAAAAACAGATCAGTGACTAACGATGCCTTATAAACTCTATGTATTATTAAATAAACACTGATGGGAAGTAGGTCAGTTTTCAAAATGGCTGGTGCAATTTGTTAGTTAATATTAGACATCTATTATTCTTGTACAAGCATCTGTCAATGCAGATAACCTTTATTAAAGTCTGTATGAATTTATTATCAATGAATTCTGGTAATAATTAACATAATTTTATCATAGATATTGCCAACTACCCACCAACCTTTCATTCAGTAATACAAAGATTGAAATTGTGTTTTGTCCGTACCTTTTACTCACAGTAAAAAATGTTTCCATATAAACAATGACTTTGTGAAATTGAAAATTTACTTTAAATATAATATAAAAATTGTTCAACTACCATAAGTGTGTTAACCATGAGTACCTCTTCAAAACATTGAATTCAAAGTCCAATTACAATAATAAGTCAATTTTATTTTTCCTTTGATGTTCTAGGACAAAGCACAGCCATGATAACTTTTTGATTAAAATATGTGCATATTAATTACCTAATTTGCATAGCTTTTCCATTGATCTCATGAAATAATCATCACAATACAATGACAATTGGTACATAGGTGCATGGGTACAATGTTAAGACTTGATTAGTTTGGGGTTGAAATCAGTCCATATTATTCACCTAATCTGCATAATCATTAACAAATTTTTATCTGATATCTAAAAGCTAAATATTTCCTGAGGACAATCGTGAAGATCTGATTAGTTTTACAATTTCAGCATAAAAATTACCTAATTTGCATAATATGCATAATCTTCACATTTCAAAGATACATAGATGCCTTAGGTTAATCCACTTCAGTAGTTCAATGCTGAAAACATTTAATGTTGTATGTCTCGCATAACAGACCTATATTAGTCACAAATATAGGTTTTGTTAGCACCTTGTATGTATAAGAAATGTACAATATTTGGGTAAACTTAAACATGTGACTCATTTTATTATTGTTGACCAGGTACTGGTAAGTGTGCATCCCAGGCACCAGTAAGAGTTCATCCCAGGCACCAGTAAGAGTTCATCCCAGGCACCAGTAAGAGTGTATCCCAGGCACCAGTAAGAGTTCATCCCAGGCACCAGTAAGAGTGTATCCCAGGCACCATTAAAAGTGCATCCCAAACACCAGTAAAAGTGCATCCCAGGCACCAGTAAGAGTGCATCCCAGGCACCAGTAAGAGTGTATCCCAGGCACCAGTAAGAGTGTATCCCAGGCACTAGTAAGAGTGTATCCCAGGCACCATTAAAAGTGCATCACAGACACCAGTAAAAGTGCATCCCAGGCACCCGTAAGAGTGCATCCCAGGCACCAGTAAGAGTGTATATCCCAGGCACCAGTAAAAGTGCATCCCAGACATCAGTAAAAGTGCATCCTAGGCACCAGTAAGAGTGCACCCCAGGCACCAGTAAAAGTGCATCTTTGGCACCAGTAAGAGTGCATCCCAGGCACCAGAAAGAGTGCATCCAAGGCACCAGTAAGAGTTCATCCCAGGCACCATAAAGAGTGCATCCCAGGTACCAGTAAAAGTGCATCCCAGGCACCAGTAACAGTGCATCCCAGGCACCAGTAACAGTGCATCCCAGGCACCAGTAACAGTGCATCCAAGGCACCAGTAAGAGTGCATCCAAGGCACCAGTAAGAGTGCATCCCAGGCACCATTAAGAGTGCTTCCCAGGCACCAGTAAGAGTGCCTTCCATGCTCCAGTAAAAGTGTATCCCAGGCACGAATAAACATGTATTTCAGGCACCAGTAAGAATTCATCCAAGGCACCATAAAGAGTGCATCCCAGGTACCAGTAAAAGTGCATCCCAGGCACCAGTAAAAGTGCATCCAAGGCACCATAAAGAGTGCATCCCATGCACCATTAAGAGTGTATCCCAGGTACCAGTAAAAGTGCATCCCAGGCACCAGTAACAGTGCATCCAAGGCACCATTAAGAGTGCATCCCAGGCACCATTAAGAGTGTATCCCAGGCACCATTAAGAGTGCTTCCCAGGCACCAATAAGAGTGCCTTCCATGCTCCAGTAAAAGTGTATCCCAGGCATGAGTAAAAGTGTATTTCAGGCACCAGTAAGAGTGCATCCCAGGCACCATTAAGAGTGCATCCTAGGCACCAGTA